TTGTTCAGTCTTTCCTTTTTCTAGGTTTTGATATCACATTATTTAAATATTGACTTTTCTTTCTTATATAATTATTAATCTAGAATTGAATTTCTGAATCATTCTCTACTACATATGTCTAGCAAATTTCTTTTTCTTGTATGCACGGTTTTCTTTACTTAATTCGATTTCCAAATTATGGTCGCTGATTCGAAATTTTGTGATAATTCTCTTCCTGTTGTACTTTTTTTTTATATTTCGATTAATATGTATTTGTTTCTTCCATCATAATCGTTTATATTTTTAATTAACTTACATTATTGTTCAGAGTTGATAGATATTTGTTATTTTCTGTTCTGCATTGATTTCATTAAATTCAATTTTTTCAATGATTTTCTCCCAATATTTGTGTGCCAGTTTGTAACATTTAGTATATATTATTTTAGTGCACTTCTCGACAGTCTGTACAACTGCTTTGTTTGTGCTTTTTTTGCTCTTATGATTCTTATTCAAGTTCGTGTTCTACCAATTTCACCTTTCACGCCAACATTTGGAGTTACTTTTCTAACACCTAAGATAAACAATATTAGTAATGGTTGATTATTATTCTGTGTTGAAACCCACAGTTTTTGGTTTTGTTTACAGTTAATTTGCATCTTTCACACTTATAGTGAAGAGCAACAATGTTATGTGTATCTTCTCTGACATGTATCTAAATCATCAACGTGTTGAGTAAAATTTTTTTATTATTAAGAATGATTGGTCTGGCACTGTCATTTCTAAATATATCTGGAAGATTATTCAATATACATTGAATAGGATTAATGATATTAATACATTTAAATATATATCACCATGGATGGGAATTGTCTAATATGAAGAACTCCACTTCAATTCTTATTATATATGTATGGTATTCAGAGAACTTACAACAATGTCTAAAATATCATACTGTCTAAATTGTATCATTTGGGCAAGAAGCTAATTAGTTTATGCTTAAATATATTTTAATAATACGACAACAAATAAATAAATAAGACAACAAAATTGTAAGCCACAATGTCTGACTTCTTTAACCGAGAATGTTCAATGTGCTGTGTATCCAAATGCTATATATATATAGACACATGCTATAGACACATTGTCATAATAACGTCCATACTGCGCAAACACAAACCTTTATACGCTTTGTATTTAGTTTAAATACATGTTGCGTGTGCTTATGAAACATGAAGGTTTTAAGGATGTAGTAAAGGTTTTTGCTATTGCAATTGCATAGCACATTTCTGAAGTAACATATTCTTTGAATCCCATCAAGTTATATATTTTTAGAAAGTATATTTTTTCAAATAATATGAAATAAATATTTCAACAAAAGAATGGTACCATGTAATCACGTGATTACTGTGCAAATAGAGAGGTATTATTTTTGTCATTATTTTAACTTGATGTAGTTGTAAAAACACCAAAAATTAGATGTTTGGACTGGAGATGTAATTTTTTGTGACTGCACAGAAGTACATGAGGAGTTCTATTGAAGTATACTGCCTTGGACCGTAAGTACAGGATTACTGAATGATGTAGCATCGTCAAGAAAGCTGTAAGCAAACGACAATAAAACAAATTGAAAAGAACAAGAAGTTGATATTAATTAATTAAAAAGACTGGTGTTCAAATATTGCGTCTGATTGCTGATTTCTTAGATTTTCGTAGAACAAACCTCAATACT